AAAATGTTATTCCTCAACTTAAAAGGGGGGGATCAAAATCATAGCTTCTGACCTTAATTCTATAAAAATCCAAACAAAAAAAAAACCAAAAAATTTAAAAGTACTAAGTCCAAATAATCCTAATAATATGTCAAAGAAATGAGAGATCCTGGACATAAAGACTAGATTCTTCTAAAATGCATAATAAGCTAATGGGGTTTACATGCATATCGGCAGTAGAACAAAACTGTAGTCAGAATAACCAGAGAAGTCACTTCCTTTCTAAGTTGATTTGCATATTCTGAAAATGGATCGAACATATACTGTCCCAGAATTATTAAAGATCAGGAAATGTATCAGGAAACCTCAGTATCTGGCACATGACGCTTAATAATTTTGAGTTTTAATAGTAATAACAACTAACCGTCTTATAAAATGAAAGGGAACGATCTCTAGCTCCATTCAACTCTGAAAATCTCCTACTATATTTCTTTATTTCATTAGCAAAGGAAAGAAGACCAAATCCTATGCAGATGATTCTTTCTTAATACCATATTGATAACTTCACCTTTTTTCTTTCTTTGTTTCTTTCTTATATTTTAAAATGTGTATTCTGGGCTAGAGGGATGACTTAGCTGTTAAAGGCTCAAGCTTACAACCTAAACATAAAACATATATTTTAGTCAAGGATCCATTTTTCTTCTCTTACCAGAAAGAAGACTATAACCTTAAAATATAATGAAGACACTACACTAAGCAAGCTGTGCCATCTTACTCAGATACTGGTGGTAGGGATTCAAACATGAGCAATAGAAAGGCTAGTACAACCCAACCCTACACACTTGCCCAGCAATATAATATGGGTCTGTTGGAGGAAATATAAGGGTTTTTTTCTTTTGTCAGATTACTATCTTATATAAAAATTTCAGGTTGGTAAGGCCATACTACGCCGCACCTACCAGGTAAGCAACTGCAGCAGCAAAAGCAGAATCCAGGGCAATGCCAGCAGTTCCAGCCCATTGCTTTACTTTTTGCTGACGCATCATGGTTATTATGCTCAAGAGTACATCTCCAGATAATCCACAGAGCAAAGATAGATCCAAACTAACTAAACAGGAGAGCATGGATAGTCTGCCAGGTTGTCAGCAAAAAGTGCTGCACCAAAACCAGAGCCTAAACCAAGAAAAACATCTGCTAATAAAGTAGAACAAAGATTAGCAGAGGCAGTGAAGGAGGAAAAGCAGGAAGCTGGAAAGGAAGATACCAGCACCATCTGAAAATGGTGACACTGAAGTTGAAGAAAGACAGGAAACTCAAAGTACAGGTAATGAAGGAGAACGAACAGCCATGAAAAACTGATGCTGATGTTCTGTTCGACTTGAACAACTTTTAATAGCTAAAATTTTCACTATTTTGTTAATGCTAATTTTTACAATTCTAATAGCTGGCCTCTCGTTTTCTCCCTCTCTCCCTCTCTCAAGCCATTTTAAAACAAATTTCCATCATTCAAGTGAAATAAACATTAATTTAATATTGGAAGTTATATATAAAATTGATTCAACATTTCATGTCCTTGTTTTAAAATTTCAAACCTGTGCATATTGTGATATTTTTACTGGGCATATTTTAATTTTTCAGTAATCAGTAACATTGTATGTAAGTTGTATGTGATTGTTTTATGAAACATGGATAATCAAGGTCACCTGCTATTTTTGGTTTAAACTAAAAGGGTTTTGCCAGACATAGTGGCTCACCTATAATTCTAGCACTTGGGGGCCTGAAGCAGGGCTGCCTTGAGTTCAGACTAACCTGGGCTACAGAGGTGTTTTCTTTAAAAAGGGGGGGAAAACACTCATCTGTAATAATTTAATCACATTCAAAAATTAGTATTCTTACAACAATCAGTATCTATGCTTAGAAACAATTTATTATTAAAACTAGATAAAGTAGAAAAACATCTATTTGGAGATAAAGACACTTGTCAAGAAATCTAAGAACATACATTACATGGAATGCTCATGAGTCAAGGTACATTCAAGAACACAAACAAAACAAAACAACACAACAAAACCCTTGCAAACCCGGGACTTTGGTAAAACCATACATGTTATCTTCTTTTCTAAAAATATATTATCCATCACAATAAAAAGTTTTTCAATCTCTACAATATGGCTGCCTAACAAGACCTGCATAATGACAACTGTTGACATGCCAACATGGAAGAGGAAATTTCATAAGTTCCCACCTCTAGATGAAGAGCTACAGGCTCAGGGAAGGGGAATCAGTTTTCTCGAGGGATGAGCTCCCTGATAAGATATCTAATCCCAATCTAAACATGTGTTGTACACATGCACATTGCTAAATGGACTTAGTGCATTATATAACATATTTATGAATGTATGTATATGTAACAATAATAATGAAAGAGGATAGGAAATTGAGAGGGAGTGGGGTAAAGCTCTGAGGGGGGAATGGGAGGGGTATAAATGGTGCAAATACAATACTTATGTATGAAAATCTTGAAAAATAAATATTAAAAATAAATGTATTTTACGACTTAAAAAGAATCTTTAAAATTAGAAATCATAATTACCTGCTCTGATTCTGTAAGAATACAAACAAAAGAAAGTAAAAAACAGAAAAATAAGGGATGGAGAGATGGCTTAGCAGCTAAGAGCAATGTCTGCTCTTACATGCAGAGGACCCAAGTTCAAGTCCCAGCACCCACATGGTGGCTAACAACTATCCATAACTCCAGTTCCAGGGGAATATGATGCCCTCTTCTCACCTCCACAGGCATTGCATGACATGGGTGCACTTACATATATGTAGGCAATAACATTCATACACATAAAATGAAAATAATAATTGTCTTTTGAGACAGGGTCTCCCTGTAGCCCTACCTGTCCTGGAACTCACTATGTAGACCAGGTTAGCCTCAAACTCACAGAGATCTGCCTGCCACTGCCTCCCGAGTGTTGGGATTAAAGGTGTGTGCCACCATGCCTGGCATTAAATAAAATATTTTTTAAAAGAAAGTATTAAGTAGAAATAACCATAATTTTGCACTAAAGAAATGAGTGCTCCCAGGGGCTGGAGAGATAGCTCAGTGGTTAAGAGCACTAGCTGCTCTTGCAGAAGACCCAGGTTCAGTTCCTAGCACCCACATGGCAGCTAACAACTGTCCCTTAACTCCAGTTCCAGGGGATCCAATGCCTTCTTCTGACCTCTGTGGGTATTGCACAGCAGGGATGCACTTACATACATTCAGGCAATACACTCATACACATAAAATATACTTAAAATTAAAAAGTAATAGCCAGGTGTAGTGGTACATTTCTTTAATCCCAGCACTCGGGAGGCAGAGGCAGGCAGATCTCTGTCTACATTAGTGGCCAGCCTGGTCTATACAGTGAGGTCCAGGCTAGATGGGGCTATGGGGGGAACCCTGTCCCAAAAAGAACAACAAAAAATTTTTTTAAATAATAAATGTTTTTTAAAAAATAAAATAAATGAGGAAATGAGTGATCTACACCAAATACAAAAATTTAGAGGCTTGCACGTTTATTGAATGAGCACTACCAGAAAGATATAATCAGATACAGCTTCTTCATTGTCCTCTTAAATTTATCCAGCAAGGAAACAGTTCCCTCTGTCACTGAATGAGCACTTTAGCAGGCCCAAATGATCTTTTTGTCAGCATTAAATAGCAGAACACCTTTAGTCACTCCAACAAGCCAGCCTTCATTTAGTAATCAAATCTTTCCCCCAAACCCAGGGTTGGGATGAACTGGAGTCCGCTGGTACCCATATCTCCCCAACCCCAGCTGTTAATTCTCTCCAAGGTGGGTGTGGGAGAAAGGGAGGCTGTGGAAGGAAAGTAAAGGGATTACACTTTCAGCGATTCTGCCAAAAA